CTCCTTCAGTGGAGCATGTGATTCTCGAGCTCAGGGTTGTGAGTTCAAGCCCTGTGTTGGGTGTAGAGTGTACTTAAAAAAAAAAAAAAAGAAAAGAAGAAGAACGTGCACAACAACACTTTCCAAGGAAAAACTAACTGCGGGGAGTGTCTGAACATGGGCCGCATGGACACCAGAGGGTGGTGGGGAGACAACACACGGATGGACCAGGCTTCCCAACGCCAGGAGCCCACATTTAGTGTTGTTCCAGCCATGGGAGTGGCACATCCGCAATCCCATCCTGGCTCTGAGTCCCATCCCATCACACCACTGTGGTGGAATCCTAATCAAGAAGAGAGAATCGAATCCATTCAAGAGAAAGTCATTAAGAAATAGTAACTCAGCTTCTCAGGGATGTGTGCCTCTGTCACGGCAGTATTGTGTCTTACGGGTTTCATCTCTGTCCCTGGTTCTGAATGTCTCCTTCGCCCCATGTCCCAACACTGGCAGAGGCCCTGGATGCAGCCAATGCTGGATGGTGTCTTCCCAATGAAGGTCTACAGGAAGGCTACAACCTCACAGGCAGAGGAGTTGACTCGAAATCAGGCCGAGGCCAGCAGATGAGAAGCTGCAAGGCTGCTGGGGGTGGCTTCGTGGGGACCAGGTGGGGTCCTGTTGGCCTTCGATCTGGAAACAGGTGGAACTGTGGCTGGCACACCCGTGTGCCCCGTGCTGGGGAGTGAGAGTTTCTCGGAACACAAAGGGAGCCTTGGCGGTCGCTGGGCTAGCTGCCTGTGCTCTACGGGCGGGTTGGCCTTAGTCTTTCTCCTGAAAATGGGGACATGATGACTTCCCAGCCAGGAGGAGGCCAGGCTGAGCTAGAGACCCACAAGCTATTAACTGAGCCGCGGCGGCCACACAGTGGGGCACTGAGGGTGTTCCATGCTGAGGCTTCCGGCACCTGTGCACAGGGTTCCAGTGAGTAGGCCACGGACTCATGGACCTCACGGAGCCTCCCCGATAGATGGGCCACATGAACGGAGAGCCGGCTGGCACATGACTACCATCTCTGCCCTGGGAACCTCCTCTCCTCGGTGCTGTTAAGTCAAGGACAATGCTCGTGCTCAGAGAGTTGGTTTCACGGCGCTTGTTAGTGGGAACACTGTAGTTCTGGACCTTCGGCCACATGGGCTCCAAACCAAGACAAAGACGTCACCTAGAGCTCTGAAGTCAAACGTGGCTACTTCATTTCTGGGATGAGCCACTTAGGAGCCTGGTGCAGGAGCAGAGAGAGAGAGAGACGGGGAGAGATGCTGAACGGCAGAGAGACAGAGACACAGAGAGACAGAGAGAGACAGAGACACACAGAGAGAGACAGAGACAGAGACAGAGACAGAGGGAGCACGCTAGCCCTGTTGTTGCTCCAGCTCCATGAGAACGGGTTAAGAGACAACCCCACAGACACTCTGGAAGGGGCCACACGCACAGGCACTGCTCCTGCTCACACCCACTGTCACGTGGAACGCCCAGTGGCCCACCTGTGTGTCTCCACGTGGTGGTGCTGCCTCGCTGTGGCCCCCTCCCTGCACCACATGCTTCCCAGCTCCTCCGAGTCAGCCGCGTCGATGATGAGTGCCGTGGTACCAAAGCTCTTGGCCACGGAAGCTCAGCAGCCTCGTTTCAGGTTCAGAGACACAACTTCCTTTACTCGCCCGAGCACTTGGACGTTTTACATACAAACGTGCGCCCTGCCCCCCCCCCAGGCTCCGAAGCCTTATCAGCACGTTGGGCCGACTCCCTGAGAGCCGAGCAGCAGGTGTTGGTGGAGTTTACCCGCTCAGTCACTTGCGGGTGACAATCACGCTCCACTGCTCCTCCCGGAGACGCACTCACCCTTTGTTAACGGCGCACTGCCTTCAACAAGCGTGACAGGCTTCCTGCGTGCACACGGGTGATCACTGACACGTAGCATCAAGAGTCTCGGACTTTAAAGGCAACTGGAACAATTTCCTCCTTGGAAACTGATAAAAATTTTTGTGCATGTATCTAATTTGCTCTTTCTTTGTTCATTAATCTATTCATTTAAACACGCTTGTTAAGTGCTGAAGTCAAAAAGCTAAAATCAAGCTGCCCTTCGGCGGCTCGGTCTCTCAGGAGAAATGAAATCCTAGAGAAGCATGCACGATGCTCACACGGCTCCCAGAGCTAAGTCGGGGGACGTAGGAGCCGGGGGGGCTGGGAAGGGCACCATTGCCCCGAGGCTCAGTCCTTCTGGTCCATAGTTCATGGCAGCAACACGTGGCCAACACGCAGAACAGGAGGAAAGCAGATCCTTCACTTCACAATTCCTTTAGGAGAAAGAGGTGAGAAGAAGAAAACCAAGTATTTTCTTTAAAAACTGCTGCACCCCCTGCCCTGCAGCCACGGGAAGCGGCCTGGAGTCAGGGACAATCTCTGCACACATGCCAGGCTCGTAAGCAGTGTCCTGGGGCCCCCGAGCCCCTCAGATTCTGGGGGGACCCGGCGTTCTCACAACGCTCTCATCACCGAGGCACTGCTCGGGCCAAACAGTCCAGAGAGTTCTCAATTAATATTAGGAGGAAAATTGTTCCACAGTTATCACTCCTTGAACCAGGAAATACGGGTAACAGGAACACCATCTTCTCTGAGGCAATAACCCATTCCTGAGTAACATTCCACTCCCACCCAGTACCTGCAAAAGCTGGGGTTCCCGACTCAGACGTCTGTCCCAAGGGCTGTTTGTATAAATGGAGCCTCAAACCTGAGGGTTCTCACAGGGTCCAGGCTCCCCTTCTGTCTTTTCCAATTTTCCTGTTCCTCACAAGCTTTAGTACACGTGGATGTCAGCTCAAGGTGGCTTCTGGAAACAGCCATTGTGTGCCCGGTTCTGCTCCTGGAGGCCCGCCACACACGCATTCTCTCCTTGGCCGGAGAGCGTGGCCAGCTCTTCTCATTTTTGTCACAACCTGCCCAGACCCCGCAAGGCCCTGCCAGGGCCCCAGGCAGCATGGCCACCAGCCCCTCACTGCACATGCCCTTGGCTCTGACCTCTGTTTCTCTATGTACAGCTGGGTTCTTGTATTCCCAATTGTATTTTTTTTATAGAAACATCACGGCAAACTATTTAAGCTTCAAGCCCTTCAAATCTTGTGTCCATCTCTGTGGCCCCACAACTTTCTAGGGCTCTGTCTTCACCAACTGAAAACAGAATTGGTCCAGTCTACAAATGCCACAGTGGAATTAAGATGTTTCAAAATGCATGCCACAAATTCACATACTGTATCTCACACCGTCCAGTTTAGATTACCCAGGTCCCACTCTTTTCATGAATACAGATTACCAAAAGTTCACTAAACATTTAAAAAATCAAAATAAATGCCTTTCAACCTAGTAAAACCTGCGTTGCCTGTCAAAAGGACACTCTGATATCACAGAAGGTACTGGATGTTCCCAAAGCACGCACCCTGGATCAGCAGGTGCCCTGCCGGAAGCTGCTAGAATACCCACAAGCATGAAACCCTTCGGACCCACTGCGAACTGACTTTCAAAGTGTCGCCCATGCTCCCACAGAATGCACTGGAATAAGGTTTGCAGGATTTTAGCAGGAAACCTGTTACTAGCTCCTTCAGAGGCCAATCAGGTACCAACCAAGTTACCCATGGTCGCCGTATTAATGCAGAGAAAATACCAAAGAGATTCATCTCAAGTCTCCCCTCTCCCTCCCTCGCTGCTGGTGGTGGGTCTCCCCTGGACTCCGTGTGCCCCCCGTCACTGCCGTATCCTGTGTCCGGACGAGGTCTGCTGTCTCACCTGCTGCCCCATCACACACCCATGACCTAAGTGCCCTGAGAGCATTTACGTTCAGGTTTTGATTTTATCCATTCTCTAAAGGTAAGAATGTCAACAGTTTCTGTACAATTGCAGTTGTGCTTAAAAAGTAGATACGGCAGGTGCCTGGGTGGTTCAGTCGGTGAAGCACCTGCCTTTGGCTCAGGTCATGATCTCAGGGTCCTGGGATCGAGTCCCGCATTGGGCTCTCTGCTCCGTGAGGAGTCTGCTTCCCCTGCTCACCCCACTTGTGCTCTCTCAAATAAAAAAAAACTTTTAAAAAATGTAGATACAGAACATTATTTCATTAAACTCAATAAAAAGATGTTAAAAACACATCTGGCTATAACCATGTCCTCTGTGATGTGTCTTCTGATTTTATCACAACATGATGCAGGGAAGAGTTGGATCTGTTTACAAACCATAGGTGTTCATGGGTCTCACATGTTTGGTTTTTTCCTTCTTTTTTTAGTTCCCTGGATTTATCCTTTGTCTTTAGTTATATTAAAACTGGGTTGTTGACAACACATGTGTACATAAGACACGGAAAAAATCAATCCTTTGTTGGCAGTAAAACAACAGCTCACTGCCGTGAACTTGTAAGTTGTGCCTGAGCTCCTTTCATTAACGGCAGTTTGGTCTCAGTATTATAGACAACACATCAGCTGAACTGTGCATAATGCAGTTCGTAAAACTCTTCAATTCTGGCTTCTCATGTGTCTTCTTGTTGTTGTTTTATGGTTTTGTTTGTTTGTTTGTTTTGAGAGAGAGAATGTGTGCGGGGGGTGAGGGGCAGAGAGAAAGAATCTCAGACTCCATGCTGAGCATGGAGTCCACACAGGGCTCGATCTCACCCCTGAGATGAAACCAGGAGTCAGATGCTTAACTGACTAAGCCACCCAGGTGCCCCATCTCATGTATTTTTAAATATTACCTCCCGTTAACGTTTGGTAATGAACTTGTGATTTTTAGTAGAATCAATTAATATGTTTCAGTGATCCTGGCCTTAGGCTGTAAGCATCTCTGTAGGAGACAGACTACGGGCTCTTCTGATGTCCTGGCCGTCTGAGCTCTGAGGTAGGTTGTCACATGCAGGGGGAATGAAAACATGATCTGACCATTAGGTTTTTACTCCATGTGTGGCTGGCAGCAGTGTAAACTAGGTTCCCTACCTTCACCTCTATCTGTTTGGTGTCCAGATGCTGGAACAGCAGCTTCACTCGAGTGTTTCCGTCATCTGAAGATCCTTTAAGCTGAGAAAATTTAAATCTCCAGAGCACATTCTGCAAAAGAATGAAATTTTGATTTAGAAATAGCTCACTTACATCATTAATATCCATTCATATATTAAATACTCCATTTTTAAAAATGCAGACATCTGCTTCATTTTCTTATCTACCCTGAGCATGTGATAAGAGCGTCCACCTTCCCCTTCTTCAGTCTGTGCGAAGTGACCTCCTCAGACCACCCACATCCTCTCTGTCCCGCGCTGGGCTCCAGGTGTCCCACAGTCCCAGACCCCGACCTGGCAGCATGCTTCCCGCCACCCCACCCACCCTCCCTGGCTTTCTCCTTCCTGTACGTGGCTACCAGTGTCATATGATCACTGCTCCTTCTTCTGCTTGCAAGACTTTAAAAATCCACTAGGAGGCCCACTTCTTGCTACAGAGCACGAGATTTGGTCCTCGGTGCAGACAGAGGGAAAACTTCATTCCCACTGATGGCCCCACCTGGGGCTCGTCCAAATCACCCCACGTCGGTTTCTCCCGCACCAAAGCTGAGAAAGGCAGTGATCACATCCTCATACCACTGCAAAAACAATGGGCTGTTTACTAAGGTACTTCAGAGATGAAATGTGCTTCATAAATTCTCACTGTTTAATAAAAAAGAAAGTCTGCAACAAATACTTTGTGGTTTTTATAAAAGTTAGTCTGTGCTTACAGACACTTCATGAGAAACGTCTTCATCTCCCAGAAGAATCCAGTGCAAGCTGCAGTTTCCAGTAAATAAAAGTGCTTGTTTTGAAAGAGTGAACCATCTTTCTCTAAGCATCACAATAGGCAAAGAGGCAGCGACAGTGGGGGAGGGATTCAAAGGCACTTCTTCCCTGGCGACCCCTGACCCCTCACCCCCACTGACCTCAGGGTCTTGCACTTCTTTTATTTTGAATCCAGGCTCCGTGTTTCAGGGCAAAGTGTCCAAACAAGCTCCATCAGGTGCTGGGACTCCAGAACTCCGTCAGGGTCTCAGGGAACAACACCTGGGTCTTTCCTTTCAGGATGAGGAAGGTGGGTCTACACCAGCCTCAGCGGGGTTGGGTGTTCTCACTCCCAGCCGGAGGGCCTCCTCGTGTTGGAATTAGGAGGTTCTGCCCAGAACTCACACTGCATGCGCCACTTCCTCAGAAGTAGCCCCCGGCCCACTGCCATCAGCCACCAAGCAAAAACCACAGCACAGTTAACCAGAAGGTGCACTGAGGACGGTGAGCAGAGCACTGGGCAAGGTGCCTGGCTCCCACGGCTCCTGTGCCTGCTGGCGTGCCCGCCTCTGAGACTCGGACAGAATGGCCCAAATCTTGTCTGCCTTGGATGTTAACACTCCCCAGCTTTCACGCGGGAACCTGTCATCAAGGGAAGCCAGGGGCATCCTGGGCATCGTGGTTTTGCCAGATTCCTTGGCAAAGCCCAGATGGCTCTGTGATGAACAATGGAACCACACGTCGTTCAAATCTGATTAGGAGGAAGAGCCTAATAGTGGTCGACCCTCATCAGGATAATGCTTAGGAATTACCTCAATAATTAACATCTCACATGGTGTCAGCTGTTGAGCTATTACAGACAGAAGACCTCCTCGAAAGTGCTGCTGCTGATCCTCACAATGGAGTCCTGCAGGTTTATTACTGTTACCTTCCAGCACATTCTCTCCACACTGACCCTGTCCTGAACCTGTCCTGCTTTCAAAGGAACACTGCCTTTGGAGAGCACACACCCACAGTTCACTGGTGTTATGTCCTATTTTCTCCCACAGCCGCGTTGCATCAGGGACGAGGGCACTTTAATCAGCTGATTAGGAGCCACTGTGCAGGGAGCTGGGTGTGGGGCTGACCGTGGGCGCACCCGCACCACACCCACACGCGATTTTGCAGGACAAGATGGCGGGGCAGGAGAGCAGGAGGTGGGGGGCAGGAGGTGGGGGCTGGGGGGCAGGAGGTGCGGGGGTTGGGGGCTGGGAGGCAGGAGGTGGGGGGCAGGAGGTGGGTGTTGTGGGGCTGGGGGGGCAGGAGGTGGGGGTTTGGGAGGCCGGGGGGGCGGGAGGTGGCTCTGGTGCAGTGGAACTTCCTCTGCTGGTGGGCTCTTTCCAAGTCACTTCCAACTCCTTCTGAAGTCTTCTTTCTTGTACCTAAAACAGAACTTCTCCTGAAGAAACCAAATGTGCTATTTCCATGAAGGACGCCGTGTCTGCACATGTCACGTGAAAGAGGTACCAGGCCAGTAGCTGAGTTTCAGGATTGTAAGCTCTTCTGCAAAACACGTGTGGGCTCCTCAGGTGGGATCATGATGGCTGTCCGAGTGGAGCCGCCTGGACCTCAAGTGCTGCCCCCACCCCACACCAGGCAGGAGACGTGTCTGGACACAGGGTGAGGTAGGAGGGAATCCTGGGTTTTGGGTCTCGATCTTGGAAGATGAAAGCATTTGCTGTGGTTGTAGTGATTCAACAACAGTCCCCCAGTCAAGCGCGTGTTACAGGAAACACGCTGCTAGGTCGTGGGTGGTGACTGTCATAGCTCAAGTCCCTCCTGACACACCTGATTTGTTAATTACTGACAATGAAAGCAGGGCCCCCAGGGACCGGGTGGACAACGCTGTATCGGGTTCTCGGTGCCTATGGCATCGCTCGTCCTGAGGGCTCTTCCTGCCAGTCAGACCCAAACTGACATTTCCTCTCCTACAAGAAAGTCATTCTTTTCCAGTTTTTTCAAATCTAATCTTTCTGTTCTTCCTTGTGGGATTATTGGGTTCCAGCCCAGCGGGGAATCAGGCAAGAGGACTTCCACAAGGACCGCCATGCATCACCCTCAACAGAGACGCGTTATTTCTCTGCTGTGTGTGCAGAACATCTCACTGGCAAGAAGACATTCTGGAATGCAAGCTCATGTTTACAGACAAGGCTGCTTCCCAACACGCCCCCAGGCAGAAAGCAAATCAGGAAAAGTTCACCCTGGTCCTAGATCTCAAGCGACACTTGATGGCTCGTCTGTGGGCTATCTTGCTTCTCTGCTGCCTGATGGCCCACAATCTGTTCCCTGCTTCTTGCTGATGTCCTCTCCAGCTTCCGATTCGGTACACTAGAAATGGGACTTCGGTTACCACCAAACCAGAGGGATCAAGAGTGAACAGTCATGGTCGCCCAGCGGGCCTCCGAGTGAGCTGGGTGTGTGCAGGTACCCGTGGCTTCTGCGCAGAGACCCATGTCAGCCCCAGCAAGAAGGCAGGGACACACGCGCACAGAGAGGTCTGGTTTATTCTGGCTTAAATGGTTTGAAGATAATTTGTCTAGAAATTTAAAGATATTGGACAACACGGTTCCCATTTGTTTTGTAAGAGAAGGAAAAATGTGCACTGCCAAGCATGTTTGCTTCCCGGTGATGGCAGGTCTTGCGCTTCACTCCCTTCCCATGGTGCAGAGGGACAGCTGATGTGAGCGGTTCACGGCTGGAGACAACCGTTCACCTTTCCTCTGGCAAACACAGAAGTGGGGAGCTAAGGAATCTGACCGCACGTTTACTTCTGAGGCTCATGTCCATGCAGGTGCCCAGCATTCAAACTGAGACCCCTAACAAAACCTCATCTTTGTTCCTATGAACATTTGGTGAATAATACTGCCACCACGTTGTGGGGCTACTTCTGACCCAGAAGTTACTCAAAATGGTCTGATCTAAAGCACATTATAGCATGGAAGTATGAATTATCTTGTGAATATAGGCATGGTCAATCTCAAACTAAATGTTTCTAAGGTCAAAAAAATCTATGATTTTTCCCTAATAACTTATATTAACGCATATTGAGAAAACACCATTTTCATAATTATTCACAATTATTCATATCAATCTAGAAATAATGGAAAACTTATGTATACTGAATTTACAAATATCATACATTAAAAGAATGAAGATGTGTCAAACGGAGAAGAGTTATAAGTATTGCATAGATTTACAACCCACCGGTATACTCTTCACAGTTAAGCTGCAAAAGCTTAAGCTTTTCTTTTGAAAATTAATTCAAATATTGTAAATTTAAAAATTTTAAAAAGGCATACACGAAACAAGGCTCTGGAACAATTTTCTTTTTACATTGTCATGTGTTCTTTAAAATTTCCAGTTACTGTCTTAAATCATGACAAACACATAAGTATTAGGCCAAAACTTCTTACAATCAAGAAGTAAACACAAGGAAAATGTGAAGACTTCACTTTCACAGGGGAATAGGTCGGCAGAAGGCCCTAGGTCTGATCTGAGGCTCAGATGACCGAAAAGACTTCACCAGAACATTATGAAAACTGGATGAAGACAGTGAACTTGACATTAAGTGGCTGAAAGGACCAGGCAGGGAAGGTGGCAGGTTCCCCCAAAGGCAGAGCTGAGTGCTCCTGAGGCTCCTGCAGGGCCAGGGAGGGGGGAGGGGCTTCTCCAGGCCCCGCCCCCTCCCCCAGGCACACAGGTCATGGAGTTGGGGGGCTCCTGGAGGGCTGGCTCCAGCACACAGAGGGCAGGGTGGTGAAGGGACGCCCCGCTGTGTTCAGCAGAGTGAGGTGGTCAAGGGTCCTCGATAAACAGCCAGTGACAATAAGAGCTTAGTCTAGTTCTGCAGCTCCTTGTCAGGATGTTTCAAGTAGCTCGGCTGCTCACCGCAATAAGGATCATATTCTAGCTCTCTGAACTTGTATTTGATTGATTTTAGGGCCAGCCAGGGAGATGCTGGGTGCACGGGTAGGAAGGACCCCTCAAGGGGCACACCCGCCCAACCGCGCGGGCATGAAATACAGGACGGACACGGAGGGGTGTGACGCGAAGGGAGTGATGTCCTGGAGAGGGACACAGAGCAGCTGACGAAGAGGAAGTTCATGGGATAAAGAGAAGCAAGAATGTGCTGCTGGGGTGAGCCTGTGGGCACCCCAGCTCCGCAACTTCACTCCATCTCCACTCCCCAGGAAGCTGCCCTTCAGCCCTGATCGGAGCGCGTGAAAGGCTCAGGGCCTGATCAGGATTTGGTGTCGAGAGGTTACTTCTCATCTGCTATGAGTCAGATCTTCCCGTGGCACCGTCCAGGGTTCCTTCGTCCACTCTGTGCTGAGGGGCCCTGTGGTCCTGTGAACGGAAGGCGCCTCTTCGGATCTCACAGCCATGCGCACCCATGGACGGCCCTTGTGAGGGTGGAGCGGACACGGGGCTCTCGCGTCACACAGAGTAGGAACACTGGGGGTGGGGGGGGGAGGGCTCCACCAGGGCCACCAGGAGGACAGTGAGCTCTGTCAGCTCGTGGGGCACCTGGCGCTGTGCAAGTCTTGACCCTGGGAACCAGACCTGCCGGGTGTGGACAGACCACCCCAGATGGGCCAGCAGTGACACATGCACTGGTGCAGACATATGCGCTGGGTGGCACTCGGCTCCTGGGATGGATAGAGAGCTGGCGGGCTCCCTCCAGACTGGCCTCATCCCCCAGGCCCCAGACCACACCGCCACATGCAGCCAGAGAAGGGGTACGCAGGTCCTCGTGGGGGGGCAGTCCAGACGGCTTGAAACCTGCTCTTCACTTGACATCTGGAAAATCTCGGTTAGATCTAGTGAAACACAGATTTTCTTGGAACACCAAGCTGTCCGTCAGGCCTAATAGTTGAGAGGCAGTATAGAAACTTCTTCCTTGTGCCTGGATGGCTGCTGCTTCGCTCATCTCAGAGGCTGGTGCGGGAGGTGATGCAGACTTCAGGCCCAGCAGCATGGCCAGCACCACCCGGAGCCCGTCCTGCAGGAGCTGTGCTGCGTCAAGGACTCGTGCCCTCTCCGTGGGCTCAATGCTGATGGAGCACGTGAATCCTTCCTAGTATCCAATGTTCCTGCAAATGGGCCCTGTTGTTCTAAACCCTAGGTAGAGCGGCGCCCGGGTGACACAGGTGGTTAAGCCTCTGACTCTTGGTTTCAGCTCAGGTCATGATCTCAAGGTCATGGGACTGAGCCCTGCATCAGGCTCCACACTCAGCATGAAGTCTGCTTGAGATTCTCTCTCCCTCTGCCCCTCCCTCCTCTCTCTCCCCCTTCCCTGAAAAGTAACTAACCAGATAAATAAACACTACTGTGACCCCTATTGTGAAACCTCCTACCCTTTTCCTGGGAGGGAATAAAATAAGAGCGCAGTGAGTTTTCTCGTGGAGAATTCCATCAAGGAGGCAGCCCCTCCTCAGAACAGAGCTCCCGGCTCTGCACCTTGTTGCTGGCTGTTCCGTGCATGGCAGGGCACTTACAGCGTCTCTGATCTCCCCCCCCCACTAGATGCCAGCAGAAACACCCCTTCAAATGCCCCCGAGGGCAAACTCACCCCCACAGGAGCCACTGTCTAGAAGAATGGGGAAGACACAGGCCAGACCTCTGAAAAGCTAGGGTGCGATTTCACAGGGGATCCCGAGTTGGCCGCGATGATTAACTTGTAGAAGACAGTATCCAAAGGTTTTACAAGGAAGTCTGGAAATAAACACTGGTGAGACCGCCACTTGAGATGAGGCGTCCCTGGCTCCGAGCTGACCACGGCCGGGCACAGGCTAAGCTGGCTGGCTCTGCGCCCCTGCCATGTGACGCACCCGTCCTGCCTATGCCTCCCCAGCCTGCATTCTGAATGAGCCCCGCGGGAGGACATACTATGGGCTTGCGGTGAACGTTCGGGCTCACAGAGATGCCGGTGGAAATGGTGGTCTCCTGTGCAGTAAGGGGAAGTCAACCACAGCTGAGCACCTGATGAGACCCGCCAAACGGCTGCCGTTCTCTCACCAAGATGCTCAGGTTTGAAGTCAGGCAGGAGATAACATTTCTTTCCAAAGTGTTTACCTTTGGGCCGGGGATCTTTCCCTCGAGCAGGACCCAGGAGACCCTCCCTATGCCGGCGTGGACGGTGGTGGCCGGCACCGCTGTGCACACGGTAAACTGGCTGGGCTGGTGGCGTCCCGTCTGCTCCTCTGAAATGTAACAGTGCACGTGCCTGGGCACCGGGCCGTGCCTGCTGGGCAGCTTACCTTTGTCTTACTGTCAAAACAGGTGAATCCCAAAGCGAAATCCACCGTGAAACACAGCGTTTCTCCTTGCCAGCTACACGCATATGTTCTGGACTGGAAAAGAGAATTCATTTTGAGAAAACATTCTTTAGCAACGGAGTTCAACATTAACCAGGTGGTTGCAGTATCCCCCCATGATCAGAAACCAAGTTTTTTTAAAAGTTTTTAAAAGTCCTGATATTTTGCATACAGGCAGCTCTGTCTGGGATTTTGTCTACAGGCAAACATCTCGAACCACGTAGAAGCCGGACATGGGGCCTTCATGCCACTCTCCCCACAAACAAGCAAACGGGGCCCAGAAGTCCTCAGTCAGCAAAGTGGTTTGGAAACACCGGGATTCCTAGTTCTGCTTGCTAAAGCGTTCGGAAGGACCTGGGGTGTGATGCGCTCACTCTCCTCTCCTTGTTCAGGGCCCACAGGACTGAAGGCCAGGGCGGCAGGCCTGTTCCCTGGGAACCCGGATGTGCTTTGGGGGAAAAGATTCTGAAGAGCAGCAACACCAAAACCAAAGCACAGACCCTCGCAGGGGAGAGGCTGTGGCCGCGTGGCTCCTGTATCACCCCCCGCGCGGGTTTGGGTGAGGTTACCTCTGCCGTCAAACTCAACATGAACGCCTCGTCTGCTGGGCGGTGAGCACACGGATGCTCAGGGCCAGCTTCCTCTCCTGTGCGGGTAGCCGCACACACACAGGCACACAGCTCCATGTGTCCAGCCATGTGGGACAGAAGCACCAAAATGCAGAGACCTGTGCTAATATCTGCATGGCACTCTCAACAGAAGGAACAAATACAGGAAGAGGAACATTAATACCTTGGGAAGCTTTACTTTTCACAACCTGTGTGATCAGCCTGCAGGTAAAACCTCCCAGCCTCAGCGCAGAGGGGAGCTGAAGGCCGGTGCTCAGGCCTCACTGCAGTGGGCAGTGTCTTCCGTCCTGTCAAATCAGGGGACTTCCATCAGGATGCCTTCTGGACTTTACAGCCCCCCTCCTCCTCCTCTGGGGTTCCACCTCAGCACACAGGTCAGCTCCCTTCAGCCGCGCAGGTCGGCCATGTCCAGCCCGCGGTGACTCCTCCGTCCTCCATTCCCAGGTCCAGCTCAGCTGCTGAGCCTTTTGTTATGACGACCTTCATCTTGAACTGTGTGACTTACCTCCTCGTGTGGCTTCAGATCTCCCTGCTGAGGCTTTTCTGTCTTCTCATCGGTTTCCAAGGGTTTGTGCTTTACTTCCTTTCTGAAGTGCATCGATCACCGCTGCTTGAACACCGTAGTCAGATATCCTAACGCCCAACATCTTCGTGCTGGAAGCTACTGTCTTTTCACTTGATTTGAGATCTTACTGGTTTACTGAAGCCTGGATATTTTTGTATTATGAGATCCTTGAACTCATTTAAGTCGTTCTACCTGAATTTCTCTGGTTCATCTTCCACAGGGGAGGGGGCTGTCCCGGGACCACCAGGGCAGGCGGAAGTCGAGGTCCCCCCTCTTGGTGTTGGACCCTTACTGCTGATGGACAGGACGATTGTTCCAGCTCCGTGAGGTGGTCCCTGCTTCTGCTCCCTGCCACTGAGTGGGGGGGAGCCTGACACCACCTGGTAGGGGGAGCTATCGTTCCTGCCTGGCGGGACAGAGGCATTTGCTGAGGGTGGGGTGGGTCCGTGGGGATGTCTGCGTGTTTGGCTGGCATGGATCACTTACTTTGTAAAACGTTTCTGTCCCACCAGGCTGCCCTTCCTGGTCCTGGGCTGCAGGGAGCCGGCTGTGGTGAGTTTTGGGGTCTGCACCTGTTGGTATTTCTGGGTGGCCCCCTTCTTCAGTGCCAAGTCTAGGACACACACGGGAAAGAACATGCAGGTCCTCTGCACCATGTGGTCCTCGAGCCCTGAGGCCCCTCACTGGCCCTCCTGAGTCACTAATTCTTTTAGAAAGGTTGTTGAGTTAGTGGCCACCACCTTATTCATTAATTTAATAAACGTAACACTTAAAAATTAACTTGCTTACTACTGAGCCCCACCAGGGCTCTGCAGGATGCGGTGCTGTTAGATCTGTATTTGGAGCAGATGTGTGCGGGAGCCGGGCAGGGTGTGGACAGCGTGTAGACAGTGGGAGGCTTTCCTCACCACTCATGGCCAGAAGCACAGCCCACATGGGGCAGTGGCGCAGGCGCAGCGAGCCCCTTGCAGAAGGCTGTGGCCCACACCTGTGCAGGCTGTGCAGACCACGGGCCCTGGTCCCTCCTGCGTCCCAGGTGAGGCTGCGCACATCCGGTTGTGTTCCCAGCAAGCCTGCGTGGGGTGCTGGGCACATGTGGGGGATGAGTCTACGTGCACCTGGTCACCCTGGCTGGGAGGCCATGCTGCTTGAGAAGCAATCTTTAGAGGGAAATCGAGGCAGGCACTGACGTGGACAGCACAGCTGTGCGTCTGAGCTGCCTTGGACCACGGAGCTTGTGGCCCCATTTGTGAGCATGCCCGAAACCGCAGGGTGTGTGTGGCACTAGGATGGCACGACCGGGGCCTAATGCCTTTCACTCCACCTGTAAACACCATGGCCGCAAGCCCAATGTGCTGCAGCCACGGAAAAATCAAGCTAATAAAGACCAAACAGCTCCTCACAGGACAGTAGGCTGAACTAAATTAGGCTGTAATAAATACGGTGTCAAATAGCACATTGAAGTTCATTTTCAAGTGTGTTAAAAAATCCACACTCCGGTACCGTTAAACAAAGGCATGGAAATTAGCCTGTGAGATATTCTAGAGAGCGCACAGCCAGGGCGTAGGCGAAGGGGAGAGCGAATGAGAAAGTGGAGGAAGGGATTCTGTTCCTTAGCACTAAGAGAAGCGGGCGCCGTGTGAGGCTGAGAGGAGGTGTCTGCAGCTGCAGGAGTCCCGCGGGAGGAGGCACTTCTGACTGCAGGGGCAGACGGATGGCGCCCTCGGGACGAGGGGAGAGGCCCGCAGGAGGGGCCTGGTCGGCAGGTGACAGCGGGACTCGGGCCAGGACTCCCGGTCCTGTGGAGATGCAGAGCCGTGTCCTCCATGGGACCGGCGACCCGTGACCACAGCGTGGCCTGACACGCACCCTGAGTGAGCAGTGACAGCCATCACCTGCCCTGCACCGTGTGCCACTCGACACCCTCAAACAATTTTTGGGAACCAGCTCTCTGTTTTACAGAAGAGGGAAACTGAGGCAAACACATTTTTGGAAGCTTCCCCAAGGTCCTGTGGCTGCAGGTGGAGAAGTCAGGCCCAGGCGCCCCACCACTGGGATGGAGGAGCGCGGTGTGGTGGGCAGTGGTGGCCAAGTTATAAGCACACAAGCCACGGCGCTGGGGTGGGGACAGCGGGCTGTGTGTGGCTCTGCTCTCCACGACCTGGGCCGCAGATGACACGTTTCAGCGCTCTGTAAGGACGGTGCAATTTCCATCCCCTCAGGAGCCTTCTCTGCTTAGTGGCCACCCAACCTGGCTGCTCTGTCTGCCACCGCACTGCATGCGGCATCGTGGGAACACACGGGAAGGGTGAGCGTCTCGTGAATAAAAGGCCAGCGTCCAGAGTGCCAGGAGATGTGGCCGACGTATTTACCGACACTCCATCTGGTCCGCAACGGGAGGTGGGAGCGGGCGGGGAGGCGCACATTGCTGGTGCTGTGTGCCATGGCGGCTTTGCTCTGATCAAATTCAATTGTTTAAAAAAGTCCACAATCTGTAACTCCTTCCAGTGTTCGTCACTGAGGACAGTAACCTGGCGTTCAGGACCTGTGATCCTGTGCCATGGCGAGCATGTGGTGAGTGCAGGTGCTCTCCTCTTCCTCTCCCCGACTGTGTGCTCTCCTGGCCTCCCCGTAAATGGCACTGTTCACCCGACTCCCTCATCCAGCGCACTCTGGGCAGATCCCCAGGGAGAGCCCCGTGGAGCAACGTGCTGCGCAGCATCAGTATCAGCTGGGAGATGACCGAATCCTGTGGAAACCTCTCTGTTCTCCTCCATGTATGTTTTGAACGGTGACTAGACGTCCAGCACACGTGACATGTTGAGCACAAGTCCCAGGCCTGTCCTTAAAGCAATCCTTGGAGAGACCGGGACTCTCGTCCCCGGGAAGATGGCTGCGCCCAGGGTCAGGCGAGCAGGTGCGTCTCCCATGCGCTACCCAAACCTGTGGGAGGAGAGGCCGCTGCGATCAGCCCCAAGCATCCTGTACTCATCAGGTCACCTACCACCTAAGTCCACAGGCCCCTTGCCCTGAGAGAGGGCAGAGGCTGCTGGGGATGCGACATCCACACGCTGCTCCTTCTGGGAGCAAGGAACACAGAGGCCGTGTGGGGAAGACTCTTCCTCGGAGAAGCTTAACGAGCACATGGCAAATGTCCAGGAGGTGTTTGATCCACATGACTTACAAATAAAACAGAACACTTTAGTCACAAACACGTATGTCACAATATGGATACAGTTTTTAGAATTGGTGATTTTGTGGACAAGGCTTGCATTTTCTACTTGTTCATAAAATACTTTTAAGTGAAATTTTGAAAGATAAACCTAGTTTAGCATTGCCTTACTCAAAAATATTTAACATTCTTTTTTTGGGATCCACACATAAACTCAGAAAGACACTGGTTTGGAGTCTTTGGCCAGAAGTAAATTGATGAGCATGTGTCCTACTTTTGGGTCCTGTTGCAGGTTTTCTGGAAGATGTCTGGCCCATGGTGCCGTGTGTGGGAGACTGGGGTCACAGTGAGAAACCGGGGCAGGAGCTCACTGTCCCTGAGTGTTAACTCTCCAAAGATGCATGGACGCCAGATGCTGGGGTGCATTCCTGGTCACACCCTCTACTGCCCTCCGTCGGCACAAGGGGGGCACCAACCCGGAAGAGCAAATGTCAAAATGCCCACGGTCCGTAAAGCTGGTGTGGCTCTTCCCTCACTGGGAATGCTCTGGGAAGGGCTGCTTGAAGCCCTGTAACAAATCCAGGGGCAGAAACAGAAATGAGAAGGCATAGTTCTGAGCTCCACTTAATTAAATTAAGCTGTAAGGGATTTTAGAGAACTGAAGTGCCAG